TTGTTCATCTGCTGCACTGCGTTGCACTTTAATCAAGTCCAAAAGGCAATCATAAAGAAGCCGTGCCTACATTTTGCTTATTGTGCTTAAAGGATAATAATTAGAAAGCAACTCCTTTCCACCTTTTTTATAAATCAAAATAATTATCACCTTGGAATTGAGGGGAATGATTTATGAAGGTAAATAGGCCCGGAGTGGTACCAACCACTCTAGCCTGTTCTTCATTATCCTTTAAGCACAATAAGCAAAATGTAGGCACGGCTTCTTTATGATTGCCTTTTGGACTTGATTAAAGTGCAACGCAGTGCAGCAGATGAACAAGCAAGCTTTTGCCCGGGCTGCTCATGCACGGAGCAGGTTTTATCACATCTGTCTGAAAATGGTTCGGTTCCAAATATCACCTCATGTGCAGCATTTGATTTGTTTTAAATTTGCTTTTGATTTAATACCATATAATAAATTACTGTATAGTACAAACAATTGACCACCGTCTGCTTCCTTTGATTTATAAGTTACGTAAAAACACCTGTTTGAAAGTCAGCTATAATGCTAAGAAATTCCAACATTTAGTGGGGTTATACAGAACTGTCTTTTGGTGCCACTGTTATTTCAATATTCTATTAACGCCCTGGCCTCTCAGTTCAGATAGTCCAAATGATCTCTCCTTGAAACTGGCTTCTGAGTGTTATTATGTAAAAGGATAATGATTCTGCATAAACTCCAATTGGCTTGAGAAAAGCTGGGTAAGTTCTTTTTCTGTTTCCTTGAAGGATTATTCACTATGCAAATGCATGCTGAGCACGTACAGTGGGGGGAGGCTTGAAGAAGTGTTAGCAAAAGTGAGCCTCAAGCACAGCATGTGTAGGAGAGCAAGAACAGATACCACTTTCATTTAAAATACTGTTAATGAGTTTTAAAGTAATAACACTCAGAATTAAAATGCTTCGCTTGGTATCTAAAGGCTATTGCATCTGAAAGTTTCTTAGGCAGGAAAAAAATGGACAAGAAAATAAAAATGCATCTGTGGTAAGAAACTTAGTTAGAATCCTTTGTCATACTTGTTTCAGTCCCAGTGCATTACTTATAGAGAATTACACCCGCTTCAATCTTAATGTGAGGGATACAATGGGCTTGAACATCCAGGGTTTTAGGGTTGGTTGGTTATTTATTGCATTACAAAAGAAAGGCATCAAGCCTGACATTCACAGTTTTCCAGCCCCTCGTGCCAGTCAGGCTTAGACATACCCAGGGCACATTTTCTCTTGGGCATGGGCTTCTGCGCACAGGCCAAAGGGAGGTTCGCTCTAGACCCTCTCTCTCCAGGAGCGGTGGCGGCTTTATACTTTGGGGAAGCTGCAGGAAGAACTCTGGGAGAAAAAAGGAAGATGATGTGCTGAGCTGGAGGTGATAGAACTATCAACATTTTCCTCCAGCCTCCAATTAAAGGGAAATTTCCAGGAAGAAAGGCATTTCCAAAAAAGGAATCTGATTCAAGCACCATCTATTCACTAGAAAAGTTTAACAAATGCTTACCTAGAACTTTGCAAAGTTTAATCTATTTTATGTATGTTGCAATCCTTTCTATGTCTCTGAATAATTTAAGGATATTGTATTTTTCTCTCATTTCAAACCAATCTTTCAGGAAACCTGTGCTGTTGACCTTTTAAAACCAGCTTAAACTTATTTCAGCAAGCCATCTTATTATTTCTTGGAATCTATACATTTACTTTTATATGTTCCATTGGATCCTCTCCTTATTACATTCTTCTGCAGTTGCTGGATACTGCATTAGAACAACACTGTAATTTATCTTTTCCAACACAGATTACCTGCATTCAATATTTAAAGCTAAACGTTTTTATGCAATGTTATCTTTCTTTTTTAAAATAATGTTTGTCTATACATTGTAAGATTGGTTTATCTCCAAAGGAAAGATGATACTCTTAGTCACATGTTTCTACACTCTATCACCAGGAGGGAGCAGTCCAGTAGTTTTTTTCTCACTTTTACCTAGTCATTGCCAGAAAGTAACAGTATACAAGAACCTTATCTCTCCTACACACTGGGGTTAGGCAGGAAGATGCCAGTTTTTCCCTAAAAGATAGATGGTAGCAAGAATGAACAAGCCACTATTCCAAGAGCAGGAGGCAGGAGAGCCACAGGAGATTTGAGATCACCACCCTTCCATCCAGTGGAGCCTACTGAAGCACTATGGATAGGATGGATTTTTTTTTTTTTTGGGTAGAAAGTTATTGTGGTGATTTCAGTACTGGGTATCCTTACAGAAAATGTCATTTTTTTTTCCTTAGAGAAGAGAAAGAAGTCTATGAGCTTTGAAAAATAATTTT